TCTCTCATCTGAAGTCCATTGGGCCATCAAAAACATGCCAACTGGAAAGGCTCCAGGTCAAGACAGAATCATTGAAGAACTTCAAAAAACGTACGGTTCTCCTCTTTACAAAGAACCTGACTCCCACTTCTTTTATTATCTAGCAGATGGCAGTGTACCGAAGACTTGGAACTCTCAAAAACAGTCCTCTTATTTAAGAAGGGAGACAAAGAAGATCTGAGTAAATACTGCCCAATAACTCTACTGCTAATTATCTACAAAGTCTTCACCAGGTATATTCTAGCCTGCATCAAGAGAAGATTGCAGGAGGCATGAACAAGCTGGATTCCATCACTCATTCTCCACCATTGATCACAAAAGATGGCTCATTTTGGATGTCTCTCCAAATGCAGAGACTACGCGGACTGCACAACTAGGATGTTTGAATAATATCAAAAGTGAAAGATACTTTACACCACATTGTTCAACTCAAACATCGATTTGCAGGCCACGTGATGCGCAGGCCAAATGGGCACTGGAGCAATGCCACAGCAACATGGAACCCACGGGGATAGATGAGACCTCTTGGTCATCCTCCCACCCAATGGTCTAATCCATTCTGTATGGCATATAATGTGATAGACAAACATGGTCGTACAATGGTACACTAATCAACACATGCTCAAAATAGATACGAATGGAGGCGATTACAGAAGATGCTGTGATCTGCACAAAAGCTGAGGAAAGGATCATTTAAGTGACTAGCTTTATCTGTTTTAATTCAAGACTTTGAAGCGCTCTTGCTTCCTTTTTATTTTATTTCAATTTAGGAAAATTGTCTGGAATAGAAACAGCAGCAGAGATTCTGCAAAACTGTTTTTGAAATGGATGCTTTTGATCATGTGACAAAGGCTATTCAGTGTGAAGCAATCTATGAACCCTTATGAGGAGCGGCTTAGGGAGCTGGGTATGTTTAGCTTGGAGAAAAGAAAGCTGAGAAGGGATAAGATCATCATGTTTAAATCTTTGAAATGATGTCACACTGAGGAAGGGGCAGGCTTGTTTTCTGCCGCTCTGGAAACTAATACGCAATGGAGCAATACATTCAAATTGCTTCATTCTTACTGGGATGAGAGATGGATCCTTTTATTCTCCAGTTCTGGTTGGAATTAAATTCATCCATTTACTCACCAATGTAATTAAGAGACTAGAAGGCACCCTACCCATTGAGGTTTTTATGCTTGCAATCTACCTGCTAACATAGCATACCTCTTTTATTTCTATTCTTAGGTTTGTCTTTGGCTTAATCATTTGGAATGAAGTGAATGAATAATGTCTTGAAGATCTAGCTCTGAAGCACATGACAGCATGCTTCCCAAACTATTCTGCCAAGATGGCTTTGCTTCTCTGCATCTCTCCCTGCTTTTTTTTTAAATTTTTTTTTACTGTGTTCCCATTTGGGGGTCCTGCCAGATTCTTCTTCTGACTGCAGCTGGGGGTGTACAAGGAAGAAATACATGATCAGACAAACTTTAATAAATCAAAATCTTTTGCCTACAGCTGAAGAAACCAATGGGGAGCAGGGAATCCAAAGAGAATTGTAGCATTTAGACAGTGTGTCTTCTAGTGTCACAGAACTCTGAACACAGAAATTTGTAAGGAAACAAATGGCAACATGGTGGAAAGAATAAAGTGCAAAAATCCTCCTATCAAGAAACTCCCAGTGGGCATCCAGTTTCATGAGCCACTCGTTCATAGTTTGTGCTCATGCAGAACCTGGCTGTCAGGGCAGCACCTGCATGAATCATACACCTTTGGGCAGGGGAAAACGTCCTCACAAAGCACTGCTGCTATTTCAATGCCATCTATTTCACAGTTTCCTTCTCTCCCTCCCCAGCTCTCCTTTTTCCAATTTCACAGTGTTCCAGGATTCAGTTCTGAACAAGAATGGCATGTGAATATACTTCCTTCAAGGTAAACATGAATGTGCATGTTTGAATTCATGGTTCCATTGGTATTTTCTCCACAAAATGGCTTTTAGAAATATTTTACATCAGCATGGGACCAAACTGCATGAATACTGGCATGAATCAGTCTATGATAGGTCCTCACTGCTACAAAAGTTGATGAAGGATTTGACAAAGAATTAATACAAAATTTTAAAAACAATGTATTTCCATCATTATGTTTCTTTTGAAAAAAACCCATGAAAAATGCTATGTCTTGGTATAACTTGACCTGCATTATATCTATATTTGTCTGAGCAGTGTTCAGACACTGCTGACTCTTACAAAACAAAAATTTGTATAACAATTTAGTCACAATAAAAATATAATAATTGTGCTTGAAATTATGGATGTATGGGGAAAGCCTTTAGGTTTACTAGTTTTGTGTTTTTGCTACTTCGTATTTTATTCAGACACTCCACCACAGCAAAATATTTGCATGAAATTTTGATTTAGGTGAAACTTCTTGGACTAGAAGTTTCTTTCAGTTGTGTGCTCCATAGATTGATTATTTATTTATTTACAGTTCTTATATTCCGCCCTTCTCACCCCGCAGGGGACTCAGGGCGGATTACAGTAAACACATATATGGCAAACATTCAATGCCAGTTTGACAAACAACATTTAACAGACACCGAGGCTATTTAACTTTTTTTCTGGCCGCCAGGGGAGCTGCTGCTTTTCATCGTCCATCAACGACACCGATGAAGTTCTTCCGCATTCCACATTCCCCGGAGTCTTTTTCTTTATGGCCTCATAAATTAGTTAAATTTAGCCTCCCACACAAGGTGGTACCTTATTTTCCTACTTGACAGATGCAACTGTCTTTTGGGTTGCAAAGGTCGACAACGGGCTACACAATGGCTGGACACCCACTCCAGCCCAGGCTGGCTTCGAACTCATGACCTTTTGGTCAGAGTGATCTTAATGCAGCTGACACTCAGCTAGCTGCGCCACAATCCAGCTGTGCCACAATAGAGAGAGTTTCCCCATTAACTCCAGAATATCGATGTGATGTCAGGTGCAAGGAAGAGTTCAACCTGAATATCTTCTAGTATCTGTGTTTTCTCTTGGACATGAAGTACCTCTGAGAAATGATGAGGATATAATTAAAATTCTTCTTGCTTCCCACAAAATTTATTTCATACTTTTTCTGAACAGAAAACCTACATTCATTATGGTGTCAGTGCTACCACCCAATATAAAAAGGTAAAGGTTTCCCCTTGACATTAAGACTAGTTGTGTCAGTTTGAGTCTCACTTTTTTGTTTTCCCATATAAATTTAGATATTCCATATATTAAAGATACTCATATTTTTAATGACAGGCAATGCTTGAAAGAGGTAGAGTTTTTTTTGGAAGAATATTCATTTTAACAATTGAAATTCTGCCTAATAATGAAAGATTTAAATATTTCCAATTATCCAGATCCTTTGTTATTTCTTTCCATTTTTGTTTAAAATTATTTTTCACCAGTTGGGAGTTTTTGGCTGTTAGGGTAATACCAAGGTATTGAGTCTTGTCTACAACCCAGAGTTCTGTGATTTTTGAGAGTTCTTCTCTTTTACTAGGAGTTAGATTTTTTTTGTCCAAATTACTGTCTTCTTTTTATTTATTCTTAAACATGCCAAGTTCCCATATTCTTCTATTTTGTTTAACCAATTTTTAATATTTTCAATAGGATTGTTAATAATGCAGAGTTGTCTGTGAAGGCTCTACATTTGTAGTTTTGTTTATTGATCTTCAGGCCTTGTAAGTTAGGGTCCTCTCTTATTCCATTGAGTAAAATTTCCAGTGCCATAATAAACAGCAGGGGGGAGGGGGGCATCCTTGTCTTGTCCCCTTAGCTATATTCAGTGGTGGGGATTCTTGAGAGTTTATTATGATTTTTGCCTCTTGTCTATTGTAAATTGTCTCAATTTTGTTTATGGATTGATAGCCAAAATCTAATTCCTTCAATAGTATTTTTTTTAAAAACTCCAATTAATATTGTCAAAAGCCTTTTCTGCATCTAAACTTAATAGGGCCAATCAATTTAATTTGATTGATGAGAAGAAAAGGGGAGGATTTGGACTACCTGATCTTAGACTGTATTATGAAGCCTGCATCTTGACTTGGGTCAAGGATTGGACTACGTTACAAAAAAGGAGAATCCTTACCTTGGAGGGTTTAGATCTAAGGAGGGGGTGGCATGCCTATGTTTGGTATGACAAAATATGAAAAGAACTTTACCAATAATTATATAAGAGTATGGGAGAAGTATAAACCAAGATTCTGCTCCAATACACTACTCTGGTTGTCACCCCTAGAAGCCTCACAAAGAAGGGAATTAGGCTGGCAGACGTGGCCAACCTACAAATACTTACTAACAATAGAAAAAGGGAAAATTTTACTCAAGGAGGAGACAGAAATCAAACAAACATGTAAAAACTTCTCTTGGTTTCAAGATAGACAAATCAAAGAACCCTATAAAGCGGATAACAAACGTGGCTTTGAAGATGAAAACTCTTTTTGGGACAAAATAATGAAATCAGACAATAAACTGATTACCAAGATCTACAAAAAAAATTACTAGAGTGGACCACTGAAATGGAACTCATAAAGAGTGATAACTAACTGCACTTCTTATTATCCAACAGGAAATATTTTTTAATATTATCCAATGGGAAATACTCCTACACAGATACACATTTTTCATTAACCTTCAGACTTCAATGTCTTAAAATTTGCAAAATTTATACCAAAACAGAATTTAGACTATAACTAAGGTATATTTTCATTTATTTCAGTTTCTAAATTTAAACACTGACAAAATAATAAAAAATGCCAGATCTAAACATTAGTATTCTTCTTAACCCCATACACAGAATATTTCAACACGATCCTTTCATGCAATGGTTTTCCTTCAAGAAGTCATAAAATGTAACATCAGCAGCAACCACAGAAACTGAAAGTGACTACTACACGCACACACACACACACTTACACACACATATAGTCATCTATTGGCTCCTACCTGTCTAGGGATATACAGCAGAGATGGAGAATTGATGCTGTGGTGAGGAGAACATCTAAAGATGTCCGAATCAAACAGAACATCTTTCCATAAATCCAGTTATCTTGAACAAGCTCAATGGCTCCAAACGGCATCACCAAAACTGATACTAGCAAGTCAGCAAATGCAAGTGATACTATGAAATAATTGGTCTTGATTTTCCTGTAAGGAACACAAATTTTTTGATACGTTAAACACCATATGACAGCAATTTGCAGTATTTTTATCTACCACATCTTTTTTCACAAATTTGTAAAGCATATTATAGTTTTGAGTAATATAGTTCTGTGTAGTAGGGTTGTGCTATTCGGCTGGACCTCAATCCATTTTCAGTATCCAAATTTCAGTGTGTATCCAGATCAGTTTTCGAGACTCTCCCAAAATTGGCTAATGGAAAAAAGCCGTTTTTGGCTCAACAACTGAAAGATCTGGGAAGAACCGCTCCATTGGTGGCAATAGGGAACACACAAGGTTCCCCTTCCCATCATTTTTAGGGCATCGACTTAAGAAACCCCCTTCCTGGGATCCTTTCCCTTCTGTCTTGCAAGGAGACCTGGGTTTAAGACAAGAGCTTAAGAAATCAAACCACCCTTTCGGGGATTCTTTCCCTTCTAGTGGCTGCCTCCCTCCCCATACTCCATGTGTAGCCGAAATAAACTGAAAGCAGCCATTTTTCAGCAGCAACTGTTCTACTGTAATTAGGGAAAAACGGAGACAGAACCAATGCTGTTATGGGCATCCTAACCAGCTGAAGACCATTTTTGAGAATTGATCTGTGCACAACCCTACTGTGTAGCACACCCACATAAAAACAAGAGTTGAGCTCTGCTGGATCATGGTTCTCTAGTCCAACATCCTGTTCATAGGATATTAATCCAGAACTTGAATAGCCAGGATGGCAATGGAAATTGACCCTCGGGATTGTGAAAGGCAACCTGGAAATTCAGGTTTACTCCAAGTTAAACCAGATTAGCCTGAGGTGTCATTTGGACACCTCAGGCTAATCTGGAAGCAATCACAGGCTTTAGGCCTGTGTAGATGGAGCCTGGGAATACCCACACTCATATACATCATGCATAGTAGCCTCTGATAGATTCCCCATCCTCCATAAATATGCTCAGAAAGATCTAAAATGCTTGCATGCACAGTCTAAATATGCACTATGTGAAGAAATAATACATTTTAACTATCCTCAGTCTCCAATCACTTAGGTTCAGTAGCGAGGGAGAAAACCTTCTTTTTGCCTACTCAGCAAATATTACAATTTTCAAAGGGGCAACTGTGTTAGCCTGCTGCAGCATTTAAAGGAGAAGAATCTGTGCCCCCTTTAGGACAATGACATGTGAGGAAGCTCATAATGGAACAATCTGGTTATTCTTAAAGATGTTACAAAGCTCCCTTCCTGATTTTCCATGCCATGTGTATGTAGATACTTCCATTGGGAAACATAAAGAAGAAACAGGAAGAAGAGCCAAAAGAAATGGTCAGATTTGCCAGTGGAGAGGCATGGGCAATGGATGCCTTAATCAATCTTAGATCAGAAGCATCAGTTTCATCTGTAAGTGCTTTTGAGATCTTCATTCAGGTCTGGCAAAAGGACCAGAGTATGACATCCAAATTTACTGACATGAATAAGACATGCAATATGATTTCCACAAAGTCTCTTACAGAAACAGCTATACAACGATATGTTAAAACACACATGAATTCTTCAAAGAAGGCACCTATTTTGAAGTTTGTACTTGGATATTTAAGTTGCAATCAAAAGATGTTGTGCACATCCTTAGTGAAAATGTTACTATTTTCTTGGCAGTAAAATTCCCTTAATAAAAGAGGCACGATATATCAAAGTATCACTCATTCCTATAAGAACAAGAAATGAACCGCTACAACCCCCCCCAAAAAACCAGCCAATTAGCAAACCTCTTATAGCATTCCCAGTAAACGCCTTTGCCATTTAAATATCCATTTTTGAATATGTTATCAAGCCTTTCCTGTATTCATTCTTGACACTGAATGACATTTTCTTCATCTCTTTTTTACTGAACAGCATTATCTCCATCTCTTTTTCATATTATTAGCTATCAGTTTTACAGCCTGCTAAATTATAATATTCACACATTTAGCTGAGCTGTGGTGTTGCTTCTTAAACCATGCTTTTGCCATGCTTAGGTTCTTTAACAAATAATTATCCTTCCAACAACCAAACACATTGCAGATTATTTTCCCCATTTTTAATATTTTTATTTTTCAACTTTTCTGTCAGCTTGTGTTTTATGGAGAATGATTAGCAAAATGATTAGCAACAAACCATGGTTCTAACTGGGACAGAACAACATGCCATAGTTTAAATAAGACCCAGTTCCTCAGCCAGTAACAAACCGTGGCTTCTAACTGTTATCCATGGCTGACTAATAACAGAGATGGGCTTGAACACAACATCTAGAATTTAATATGTGTGACACCATCCAATACCATGGCATTAAAATATATGTCAGTTGCACTACCTACAAAAGGAAGAAAAATCGCACACAAATGCCAAATCTTTCTCCTCATGTTTCTTCTAACAAGCTATGCTCTAATGTTTATTTCAATTAATCTGGTTGCATTTGATAAAGAGAAGCAAGGTAACAATCACTGAACAAAGTAAATAAACTACTACATATAACTCACAAGCTATCTTCATTTCATAAAGGTTATCATATGAGAAAGGTTACGACATGGATAACAGGATTTTTAGTTTGGACTTGCACCTGTTAATTTGACTTTTGAATCTTTACAGCAATCATTAAACATGCGTTATCACAGTGTCCACAAGATACTGTTTCCTTCTTCAGACATATTTACATATATGAGGATATTTCAACAAAGTTTAAAATGTACAATATAGTCATCAACTTAGAGAAATGGAATGGTTTTCAAACACGCAAAAATAGTGACTGGGCAATATTCTGTCCATTAGGACATTTGGCAGGTAGATATTTAGATTACTAGACACTGTGAAACAAAGGACAGAAAAGAAACCTTTTTTTTTTGTATGTTGTCAATTTCCGTAGTGCAGAGCAAAACAAAACAAAATCAATTTAACACATGGCTCCTGTTTCTAACAAGTTTTACAGACTTGCTTCTATTGTCAAGTCTGAAGTCATTATTTTTAAAAATAAGTATGCGGAGGAGGAACGGAGTGCTTCTTCCACATACTTGAAACTTCTGATGGAGAAAATTTCATCCATCAATAAATATAGCAAATGGTTTCTATTTTTTGGACTAGTTTTTAATTATTTGAAAAAGGTTAATATTTTTGTCAATTGGTCATTTATGCATTAACCATATTTTATTCCTTTCCCCTTAATTCTTTATGATCCTTTATTATCCTTATAGCTTTCCCCTAAATACTTTCCAGGCTGTAAACAATTCCTATTTATGTTTATTTTCTTAAATTAATGAACATCTTAAAAAATCCCTGTGATTTGGTGGCTTTACGATGTAAAAATAATGCTGAGAAATGAGCATTATACATCAGACAAGGTCATTAAACAAGCTTTGTTGAGTCAGATAAGTGCAGTATTTCAATACAAGTATTTGTTTACCACTTCTTTCAGTTTGTAAAGTGCCTATCCAAACTTCTCAAGCAAAAGTCTTTCAAACACCCTTGCACCAGATTTCTGTCAATAAGCGTCAAGCTAGGTGATTTTTTAGCATTTTCATAAATGTCCGTATGGTGAGCGCTGAACTAAGACCCTGAAAAACTGGGGTTCAAATTCCTGTTCAGACATGGAAACCCACTGAGTGATCTTGCACACGTCATTACTCTCTTCGCCTCAGAGGAAGGCAGAAGGAAACCCCCTCTGAACAAATTCCACCAAGCAAAAACACTGTTGTAAATTTATCTTAGGGTTTCCCTAAGTCTGAAATAACTTTCCAGTACACAGCAAAATACAAAATAGTGGTGAAAGAACCTTTTTTGTTGAATCACATAATTGTCACATGTGTATATGTGTGTGCCTGTTAACTTTAGTAACCCCATCACTTTTATAGTTTTTTCTTAGGCAAGAAATCATTACAGGTTATTTGGCAGCTCCTTTCTCTAGAGCTCTTGTCAAGTGGTGTCCTAACTAGCTTTATTTAGGGTGCTGGGTTCTGTGTTTGGTCACTAGAAAGTAAAAGTGGATGCAATTACAAGTTTGTTAAATTACAAGTTTGCTGAGGTACATCTTTTGGAAGAAATCCTATTGTGACGGGAAACTGGTGAATTGTAGGGAACATGCATTCCAATGGATATGTCACTTCTAACATCTTAGGTGAAATTATAGCTTTTACTTATGTTCTTAGAAATAATGCTTATCCACACTATTCCCTTCCGAATCAGGGCAGACTAAAATACATTTCATATAGGCCTGGGCGGTTTCGATCGTTAATCTTGTAAATCGTTAAACAATCGTTATCTTTGCCATTTACGGAT